TCTACCGAAATCGGCTTTTGAATATTTTTATTATAATATTTTCCAAATCAAGAAGACATAAAAGTTTGTTATTTGAAAATGTTTTTTTTTTAAATTGTCATAAAATGTAAAGTGACATTACCAAGCTTTTGACCTAAATTATCAACTCTATAAGCTTAATTGTGGGATATTAAAGTAATTTTTATGTATAAGATAAAGTTAAGCAGTTTGAATAATTGAGTAAGCTTTAATATAAATGAAATAATTTTTCATCTGCTTAAAGTGAAGTCATTCATAAATGATGTCAAGTGCCTACACGAGAATTAGAGAAAGTTAAAACTTAAAGAGATTTTGGTTGGCTGCTAGACACACATCTGCGTAGTCAAGATTATGCGCTACATACTGAGCTAGCGTACATAATATAGATTTAACAATTATTAATGTTAAGAAAAGAATTGTAGCGTTTAAGGGTTTAGTAACACTGTTGCGACTGCTGCACAATTTGCGATGAATGAATTGAAAAAAAAAAAACATTTTTTGAAAAAAATTTGCGATTTTTTTAAACTAAAGGAACTTTTCCGACGTGAATCCCTAATAATCTCATTCCGTTAAGCACCAGAATGACGTTCATAAAAAAAACTTGAATTTAAATTGACATTTTTACGTCTATATGACGTCATTTTTTCGTAGCTTCTCCGATCCAATTTGCAGCTCCAATGCTGAATAATTCAAACATATCTAAACAGTATTGATTAAATCATCTCAACCATCACAGAAGTTAAATGGAGATGCTTTCTACAGATGTAAATGAAATGTATGAATTTACATTGAATAATAATTAAAATTTTACTTGAGCTTGTCAATTTCTGTGGGATTTCAAATGTCTTGTGCTGTCTTATGCATTTGTATCATTGTAAATATTTAGGTCAGATATTAAATTAAGTATGTAAACTGATGTGAAAGGGTGATGCATATGTTTTGGATTGGCATTTTAATAGAAGCACATGCAAGTGAATTCGCTAATGTGACACTGATTCCTCTATGGCTGAATTGTTAGGCAATAGGCTGGATTTCTGTGACATTTTGCCTTTGAAATGAGGTTCGATTCTCTCTATTTGCGTTCCAGTGGTTGGATATTGTGAACTTAATCATAGCTTACCATCAAGGGTGTGGTACTGATGAATGACCAGCAGAGCAACTCAATAAAAAGCGTGTAAAAATGATCAAAATGTAATTCTTCAGTTCCACACCCTTGCTTACCATCCCATCTTTTAAATGTCAAAACTCCTTTAATTTAATTGAATTAATTTTAAAAGTTTCAGATATATGAAAAATTCATTTATTTGCCAATGCTAGAATTATGTAGGTTGCGTAAAAAAATATTCAGTCCTGTTGAGCTTTCAATTTCCAGTTGATGCAAGAAACTTATCCCACACACTCCACTGTACGTACTTTTATGTATGGAAAATGAATTTATAGAAATGAATGCAATTTAATTTGCATGAATTGAGTAATGAACATGAAGCACTATGTAAACTGCATTGAAACAACTCATTTTTTCGCAGTTTTTTTCAATTAATTAATTTTGAATAGTTAACTTGAAATTCAAAACGATTCCGAAGCCACTTGAACCTATCCATGTTGATTTATCGCAGTGTTGTTCAAACTGTGTGACGCGGTACACAGGTCCTCTGCAGAAATTTTTTGGAAATGACCAAGCCGCATGCTGGTGTGACTTTGATTATTCCTTTGACTTTGATCCTAAGGTGTGCCGTGGTTCAAAAAGTTTGGACAACACTGATCTATCGACTTGTGCTAATATTGTTTATGGAAAACTAAAAGTTTTTCCGATTGCTTGTTAGTTGAATGTTGCTGCTAATTGAGAATCTCAAGAGTCAGCAATCAAGAGAGATATTAAAGTTTGATACGTGGCTGTCAATATATCATATCAAGGTTGTCTTATGATTATTTGAGAAAATAACGTTGCAACAATAAGTAAAAGTAAAATCTTAGGAATGATATTTACAATCTGTTTGAGGATAGTATACAAATATTTAGGGTTCATGAAATATCCCATAAATAGACTAAGTATCCAAATATTTAGGTACTAGAAGCTACCAAAATATATTTGTATTGGCATCTTCAATCTTAATGGAATTCTTAAAAAAATTACTTTTATTTTTATGGAATGTCAGTCAACAAGAGACTTTGCTCCCGAGATGTAAGCTTCCATCACGGACTGCTATCTGGTCGCTAAACAAAAAATTGATTGTAACTAGGTTTATGCATAATAGCCTTTGAAAGCCACATAAAAACTTGGTCTGCTGGTCAAGCTATTTGACTGCTTAAAACAAGTCGTGGAAACTATCCCAAATATCATATTTATCCCACATATCCCAGAAATATTCAAAAAATTCCTGAGCATGTATACACGATAATAAAGATATCCCAACGTATCCTTAGTGTATTGGGCGTGTAATTTCAGGATATGATGGGATATCTCAATTCTAATGCATACATGCTCAGGGATTATTTTGAATATTTTTGGGATATATGGGATAAATGGGATATTTGGGATATTTTCCACGCCTTGGCTTAAAACAAATATTCCGAATTGCACAATCGAATCGCCAGGACATCGTCAAGTTGTTAACAGAAAAACTTCACCAGGATGTGCCTTGACAATTATCAGATGACAAAAGTTGAACATTGACTCAGTGAAAACAAAAAAGCTTTAAAAATATTGGGGTTAGCTGAGTATGCTCATAGGTACTATCTCTAAGCTTATATATGTTCGAAAAATATATTTTAATCCTAATAAAGTTTGGATTGAAAAAGAACTTTAAAAATTTCAAATCATTTGCCTTTTTGTCTCCAAAAAACGTCCTTCAAAATGATAAATTTACAAAAGGTCACGTCTACCAATCAATCTTCTTTTGGATATTTCCTTCAAGTGCAGCCGATCGAAAGTCAATAATGAAAAATGCTTTCTAGTTCATCTTCAACAAAACAATTTTTTTTTGAATTTCAACAATTCAGCATATTTCTTGCTGTTTTTCAGACTTTTTGTCGCATTGCTTTCAATATTATTCAGCCGTCCCCTCCCGAGCGGCACAAAGGCTCCATTTGCCTTCCATATGGAAGCTATACGGAGCCTCCATGTTCCACCCTCCATTTGAAAATCTTCCGAAAACCTTACTATCTTGGAACCTTGACGGAGCCAAAGCTCCGAAAATCTTCCGTGGGACGTGCATTTATTAACACCAAATGGAAGTCATTTGAGAGGTTTTGATGGAGGATGGAGGATCCATTTGTGGTAGTCAAACGGAGGTTTAATGGAAGTATTTTTCAAAGGATTTTTGGTACGATTTTCCACGTGTTTTTCTATGTTTCGCAATTTTTATATCAAGATTTGTAGCTGTATTAGTGGACTTAATTAAAGTACACTAACACTATTGAAAAATTTACAACTTAATTTAATTAAGTCGCAACCACAGCAATTTCTAAGTCTCGATCACACGCGTGAGAAACATAAGAAATTATTAAAAATTTTCATACAAATTAAACGACCCCATATAATAGTGATTTCTGCATGCGCTTGTGAAGTATGTAATTTCATACAAAATCACAAAAAATTATCCTTTTTTGCTTTTTTAAAGCTTGAAATGAAGCAATATGATTCAGTAAAGCTTTTCGACAATATTTCAATCCATTACAGTAAGATCTGACCTTTGTCTTTTAAAAATTCAAAAGCACGAAATTTTCGGTATTTGATTTAAGAAAAAGCGGAGTTCATATGGAATCCAAATGGAATCAATATGAAGGATGAAAAAATAACCCTCCATTTACTTTCCACATAGTGGAGGTGGCTTTCATATGGATTCCATATGGAGACCACCCTCCACCTTGTGCCGCTCGGGCCTTAAATTCCATTCAGTTGAATTATAAATTGCATTAAAAAAAAGCTTGGAAATAGACTTACAGCAAGGCATAAATAAACAAGTTGAATGCATAAAATTGATTAATTTGCATTGTTTACAGATTCCATTCTGGCTCATTTAATTGAATAGAAATTGTTTTAATTAATTTAAGTCACTGAATCAAATGCTCCGAGGCTTGCTAACCCCATCGTGAAAACAATTAGAAATGAACAAGGAAACAACAGAATGGAAAATGAATAGGAAGTTCTGTTACTATAGTAATGAACTGCTTTTCTTCATTTTTCTTCAATTTTGTCTCAATTTAAATATGTTGATGGCTGTTTTTTCGACGGTTTGTCTTGATTTAAAAGGAAAAGCTAATGTTTTGTAGCTATTTCTATCCAAATATCATGAAAAATTCCAGATTTGATCTCAATTCTCTGATCTTATTCTTTTAGTTTTGTTTTTTAAGGTTAAATTGTTTGCAATGTTTAATTCTAGGCGACAAAAAAAATTCAAGGCGTTTATATGATCCCGGAACTTAGTTTGATTTCAAACAAATTATGGTTTGTTGTTACTATCAAAGGATCCTTAAGATTGATTAGTGTGAGAAAAATAAACTTTTACATTGTAAAACTACTGTACAATACAAAATGCGCTAAAGAACTTCGATAGTAAGCACAGAAATCTTCACAATTTTCATCTTTTTCATTACATGAAGAAGAGATATCGTTTTAATAACAATTGCTATGCAGAAGTGGGAGAATAACAAGGTTTTACAGTTTTACTCTCCATCTGCAGTACTTAAATGAAAATATAAAAAGCTCTTGTTTATTTTAATTGTTATCTCCTTGAAAGAGTTCCTCTTCATTAGAATCGGATGAAATGTGAAGAAAATGGAACTTATTTTTGTAGTTATTGTGTTGCAGTTTTAATTATAGAGATTTTCTGAATCAACTTTAAACTTAAAGAATTAATTTCGTGCATTTAAAATTGCACCTTAATCTATAAGATGTATTCCTTAATTTTACTTTTTAAAAAACCATCCATGCACCAATTTCAGAGTAAACAGTAATGTCTCTCCTCAAATATTACTCATTTTTAATCCATAGGAAACCTAGGCTGGACATAAATCCTTCGAATTTTTAACTTCTTAAGCTTCAATCGCTTGACTCTCTTGCGACGATGAATGATGTAGTAGAGTGCACCTTTTTGATATTTTGGATGCTTTTGCTGCTTCGTCTTCTTATATGCCATGTGATGTACTCGACTCTTGAGATTCCTAGCAATGTAACCTAATTTAATTTCCACCAGAATGTCATGAAAGAAGATCTCAATGAAGAACAAAACTGTCGATATTACACATCCAACAATTAGAATATAAAACACTATTGCCAAGTCTTTAAGTTTTAGATATATTAATTTTTGTGTTGACGGATGAGTTCCTTCAAAAACTCTGGTTTCAGGTGTAAAAATCCTCCAGATATGCATCAAACCAGCTTGAAAGGATAAGTCCATGTAATACTGAAGTCTTTCAATAAAAGGATTTAAATAACTAGCTTCAAGCTGCTCGTAATGCATAAAGAATTTTTGTGGTAATAAATAATAAGAGTCAGAAACTCTCTTTCCAGTTCCAAACACCACATTAATTAATATATCCGTTAAATCACAGTTCATGATAAATGCATAGTGCTGTCTCTGTAGTTCATCATTTAACTCATTTCTTATTTGATTACCTGATAAATTCAATCTATGCTTTAACATGCTATATGCCATTGAAGTTTTGATAGCTCTTCCAAACACTTGATCAGTTATGATTTCGAAATCAGAAGCAAATAAGTCATCAAATGTCTCAAGTCGATTCTCATGAATTGGTTTGATCATGAACGAAGTTATGACACCCTCGTAAGCATTACTCAGTATCCAAACCATCACAATAATCAACTGGAGCAGAATTGTCAGCACCAAACGATTCTTGTGACTGAAGTCAACACCTTGACCAATGAACATGACAAACATGCCATAACCTAATAACCAAGGAGAATCAACAGCACCATGACCACGGAATATCAACCAGACAGCAACAGAACAAGCTAAAGTAAGAACAAAGAACATCCAAGTTAGACCATCGAATGGATCAATAAAAATCAATTGAACAACAGAAATTTTAGGAGGCAATGGAACCAAAGCACAGTAATGATTAACTTCGTATGTTAACAATTTAGGCAACGGAGAATTTGTCTTGATTACAGTGTTGAGTGTTAGATCCATTTTTCGTTCTTTCCAGTAATCATAAATTAATTTGTAGTCCTTTAAAATTATGTAATCAACAGCTGCGTTTTGAATCTTTAGAACGGCTGTAATGAAATGCATCAATGGTGTTTTCGGTAATCCATTAATGAAAACCAGTCTTGGAATTTGATGATAAACAACAATTTGGTATCTAACTGCAGTCATTTGTATCAGCTTATCGGGAATTATCAAATTTGTGTCAAAATCATTCAATTCTTGAGATGGCTCAAGATTAAGGTTCAAATAAGTCTCGAATCGAATGTCATGTGCTGCTGTTTCATGAACACTTATGACGTTAAGAAAGCCAAGAGTCATAAGCTTTTTTAGACCTTGGAAACGATCCCTGATCATGACTTCTTTCGGTACTATGACAAGAACTTTTGCCGTATGTTGAAAGACTGTAGACTTTGAGTTGTGATTAATCAGGCTCTCCGCATAAGTCTGTAGAAAATTGTGTTTTAATAATTAATTGAATTTGACATGTTTAAGCACCTAAACTTACAATACCAAATTTATCAAACGGCACAATAACCACAGCTGCACTCCTCAAATTCTTATCCATCAATGGCTCTTTGAAATCACTAACAATTACAGCACTGTCATTTCCAATACATCAAGCAATATCGTTGATAATCGATGTCCACATTTTCCCACCAATGTTTCCAATGAGGACATCCTGAGTATCACTTTTTAACTTTGTGATGTCTTTGGTGACTTTACAGACATAATTTGATAACTTTTTGTCATTTGATGACGTTTTGAGGAAAAAATCAGAGCTGAGAGTCGAGTCGAGAATTAAAAGTGCCAAAAATGGCACCAAAACTTTTGATATTTTCATCTTATTTGCCAAATTTTTTGGTACGACGTGTTTTTAAATTGATAATTTTTTTTGCAATGGCTCACGAAATTACCATAGACGCAACAAGTGTTGTGGCTTAAATGTAAAACTATGGTGATTCTGTATTTAATTATGATGATTTATATAAAAATTTTAATCGATATTGACGGAAAAAAATAATTTGAATTTTTCACTAACACTATCATACAAAACATCAAAAATTAAATTCTCAAAATTCTTAATTATTCAATCATTAATCCCAAATATTATGATTTGAATACGAAAAGTAGATGATGCATTAGCTGATCCAACTATTTTAAGACCTTTTACATCATTATTGAGTGATATTTTCGTGACTTTTCAAATTTCATTTTCGATTTTGTTTGTAAACAAATAAATTGCAACCGAAAGAATTCAAAAAAGTTAAAACCGTTGAAATTTTTTTTCCTTAATCTTGTTCATTTGGGTATGGGGCCATTCACTTATTACGTAACGCTTTTAGGGGGAGTGGGGGGCGGGGGGTCTAAGATTTTGTTACGGTTCAAACAAGGAAATTTTTTTTTCATACAAATTTTGTTACGAGGGGGGGGGGTCTAAGAAGTCATTTTTTCGCGTTACGTAATAAGTGAACAGTCCCTATGTCAATGCAGCAATTTTAAATTTTATATAAACTTAAAAAGAACAGAATTGAATTTCGGATCTAAAAAAATACATTTGGAGATATATTGAACAAACAAATCTTTCTTCATTTCAAATTTGGAATTATTGTAGTTTAAGTTACATTTCTTTGAGTCTTATTTTGACACCAGCCTGAATATGGCTTTAATTCAACTATATCTTGATTAATTATTAATTTTGATGAATGAGATTTACATATATCATGAAAATGTGGCATAAAAAGTTTAAAAAAAGTTGCCGAGCGAGAAAAAAAAAAAAAAAAAAAAGCTTTTTTTTTAAGCTTATGAACTACATTAATAAATTATTTTTGAACTGGGTTGTTCGGTGCTGGTGGGCAGCCAATGAAGCCATACTTCACCATGATTTTAAATGCAGTTCCTTGAGGTGCATCCTTTGGGATCTTTCCGACTTCGTCGACGAAACTGCAGAACTGATTTATTGCTTCTTCAATGTTGGGGATTCTCTTTAGACGTTCTTGAGCTTCTGTGAATTTCTTGAAAAGGCTTTCATTCTTTACTGCTTCGTTGAGTTTCTCTGCATAACTGATATTATTGATCAGTTGTTGCTGATTAATCTCTTCTTTAAATGTTGCTGATGAGTTACTTGCAGCATTCACTGGATGTGAATGAGCAGAAACTTGATGTCGTTTGCTTAACGATGGAAAATTGTTACTGTCCAAAAGTTTTGATATCTGTGGCAGCATTTTGAGTTGTGGTTTGGCTCTTGACTTTTCGATTCTTTTGGAATACGAAATGAACGATGGGCACAGTCTATAACTGGCAGCATGATCGCCATTGCAATTAATGCACTTGGCATTTCCATCACGAGTGGATCGTTGACATTGATTTGGTCCGTGAACTTCCGTGCACTTGACGCATCGGAATTTATATCCACAATTTTGAGATGAGTGACCCCAACGTTGGCAGTTGAAGCACTGCGTTGGGCTTTTGTTGCCCTTCTTGATGTTCTCCCACTTGACGATGATGTTGTCGATGTTACGGTGGTTATGATTGAGCACGTTGATGTTCACACTTTCATCTTGAAAATGCACAAGATAAAAGGTGAACTCGGGCTTCTTGACGAGAATTGTCACTTTGACAGCTGAAACCTTGGCTTCTTGAAGTAATCTTAGTACTTCATTCGTTGGTGTTTCGTAAAATCCTTTCAGAACGAATGACTTTGTTTTCTCCGATTTCTCGGAGAAGGTGTGGAATTGAATAGTTTGAGACCGCAGAAGGTTTATTATTGAGGCCTTATCCTCAATAGACTTGACAATTACTTGAGTTGTATTTGATGATGAAATTTTATATGCAGGCATAACCTGCAATTTCAATAGTGAAATTAATTTTCTCACATCCTTGAGACTGCATTGCACAAATATTGGCTTGACTGAAGTTGTTGTTGTGACTGGAACCGATGATTCCTCTTTCTGAGGCGTTTGCTTCCTCTTCTTGGAATTTTCATTAGATTTGATTGAACTTTCGTCCAAATCAATTTTTGGCGACAAATCTTGCTTTCTTTTGGCTTTCCTCATTGTCCTTGAGGAAAACACAACCCTTGGCACTAATTAAGAAGGTTTTTTCAACTAATAACGACTTGGACACTTTAATTAATTTAATAAAAAAATTTTCCACGTTTTTGTGCGCGGGGCTTGAAACTTTTTTTTGGAGATATATCAATAAACAATAATGAAGATATAGCAAAATTCCCAAAAATTGTACGTGAGTGACGCTTAGTTGAAGTGATTTTTTCGAGTAACTGTAAACATCCATGAAGTAAATTGTACCACAATAGATGGGCATTTTAATTCTCTTTTCAAAAAAGTAACTCTTAAATTTATCACTATTAAGGATAAGGAGATAATCAAGAATAACAAAGCGTCACTCACGTACAATTTTTTTGTGACGAGGCCCTTCAAAAATCACTCACAGCCAAAAACGTGCAGCGTTACTTGATATTTTTCCACAAAATTTTCTTTTTAGGCATTTTCAGTTTCCAAAATTCATTAATAAATATCAAATTTCCAATAATCAAATTTAATCTAAAACTTTAGCACGTGCATTTCTAGCAGACAAAATAAAAATAAAAATTCAGTGGAATTATTTAAACATCCATCCACGAACCAGCTACAGCAAAAACTGCATTCTAAATGAGATATTTCAGAATTTATTTATAAATCCAATAACAAGCAACTCTCATTTAGGGTTTCTGAAAAACGGCATTTTCGAAAACGGCCGTTTTCCGTTTTTTATTTTCAATAACGGCCGTTAACGGACCGTTTTGAGTTTTTTAAATAAGGGGCCATTCACTTATTACGTAACGCTTTTAGGGGGGGAGGGGGGTCTAAGATTTTGTTACGGTTCAAACAAGGAAAATTTTTTTTCATACAAATTTTGTTACGAGGGGGGGTCTAAAAAGTCATTTTTTCGCGTTACGTAATAAGTGAACAGCCCCTAACCAAATATAAATGAAATATTCCTCAACGGATTGATTTTTCCAAAATATTTATCTTTGAATCGAATTTTCTCTTAATTAGAGAACTTTGCAGCTGCAATTTTTTCACAAACTTATGTAAAACGCCGAGCTCTTTCATTCTATCTAATTTACGCATCTTGTCATGCCTTATTTAATGAAATATCTGGATTTTTGTGAGCGTTGGTATATTACACAATGTTGAATTCTGAATATGAAAGCAGAAATTTACCACTTTAAGATGTCTTTACAACTATTAATATTGTCTTTATTGTCAACCGTTCTTTCTATCCTCTTCTATGATTCTGCATACTTAAATTGACTTGAAGACACTCAATAGACAGAAAAATGAATAATTTTAATGCAATTAATGTAATATACCAACGCTTAAGCCATTTTTACTTTAATTAACAATAATTTCTTTGATTAGAACCTTGTTTTTAAAAGTTTAATAGTCAATGAAGATCTTTAACTCGTTTTAAAAAGTGTAAGCAATCAAATTTTTAAAGAACATGGATCAAAAATTTAAAAATTGTGTCCATAAAGATAATGCGTAGATTTTTATTTACATTTATTATAACTGTTTATTCATTTTATTATAATAAAACTTAAGAAAAACAAGAGCATTTAGTGATGCATCAGCCAGCCTTGAATGAATCTTTGTGCAAAAATTATTGCAGATTGAAAATATTCGCTCTACATCTGTAGATGTCGGCTTAATACACAACAAAGCATCATAAAGTTTTTGAAGATTTTCCGATCGATTTCCTGTATTTTTCATAAAAATTGATAGAAATCAAATATGAAAAACCCGTTGTAAATTCTTGAGTCCAGATTTTGATTTGTTGCATCTAAACAACAAACAAAACTGGACTCGCAACTATGATTACATTTCTGATTCTAATATACTACTTGAATACGTCTCTAGACTAGCTAGATTGGTATGTTTATTCTTTACAAATGAAAAAAAAAATGAGATTTTCAAACTTTCCAGGCAATCCATAATAATAAATCTCAATTGCAGAAACTTTTAACTGTTTTTGAGAATAATTTTTAAAGGAAATAAACAAAAAAATTTTTAAAAATTACATTGTATGAACTATGAGAAAACGGAAAAACGTAATGAAAAACGGTCGTTTTCCATTTTTAATTTTTGGAACGTTAACGGCCGTTTTCCGTTTTTCGTTAACGGCTTCAGAAACCCTACTCTCATTGTTGCAGCATAAAAATGTGACAGAGTGAAAATAATAAATTTTAATGTCATAAAAATGCAAATTGAATGACTTAATTGTTGTAAATTCTCATCTACTTCCTAGATACGGATCATGGAAAGCATTAAAGGAATGTCCATTGTTCAGTGCTACATAAGCGAGAAATTTTTCGCATTATGACTTGGATCACGGTGCTCAATGAGGATGTGAAACGTGTAAATGAAAAGTCAAGAGGAAAGGTCGCGAAAGAATGCTGAAAAAAATTCATAAATTAATTTCATTATTTTCTTTGTTATTTCACGCGAGAAGAAATTAGACAAGATGCAGCCAAGGGGGTTGGCACAGTAGTAATTATTATTTTTT